AGTTTGCACGTACTACTTTAAAGCAGATGTGTGTCTCTGGCGTAAAGAAGTGGAATTCTTTGCCGAATGATTTAAAGGGCTGTAAGAACATTTGTATGTTTAGGAAAATGTATAAAGAAAGCATATTTAGACAGTATGAAGTTGACTTTTGATTGTGTTCTGGTTTTATGTTTCAGTATTTGTAAGCAACTGTGACTGAAAGAATATTGCTTTTAATTATGTCTTAATGGTTATTTCTTTTTTTTTTTCTGTACTTTTTTTGTAAGAAGGGGCAGGTAAGATAAGATGTTCTTCTCCCTGCTCATTTCCACCATGCGCTATAAAAAACATCCAGTATAAGTGTACATGTTTTGTAAAGTGTACATGTTTTGTTTTAAAATAACTGCCATGTGTGGAATAAAAATAATACAAAATAATGTTTTAAATCCGCCTGCATTCAAACTAATCAAGGCCTGTCCGACACTTTATCTTTAAAAAAGTGGTAACTCAATGCAGAGAAATCTACTGTCTCCCTGTTTCTACGATAGATTGTGTTGCCATAGCAACACATACAAGCAGCCTATAATCTGCCTACTATCAGAGAACTTCCATTTATGCTGTAACCAAGGCTGTATGCTCTGATAATATAGTGATTTCAACTCAGATTGGAGGCTGGATGTGAGTCACAGCATGCTCTGTGGTGTTCACACTTCCTCACCTCTGATCCTCAGGTGGAGGAAGGGCTGAAGATGCTCAGCGCTGTTTTCCTTGCAGTCGACTGTGTGAGGAGAAACTCAGATTTCAGCCAGGCCATAATTCCAAAATCATACATACACACACACAGACATGTGATGATGTCTGCTGTGAAAGTCGATAAACACCACACAAACGTCGAAAATGTGCTTTTAATCTCTCACACACACAACCACATACCCACACACACACCACACACACACACACACACACACACACCACCACACACACACACACACACACACACACACATTTAGAGGCACTGATGATGTCCCACTTTGAGGTACACAGAGTTTAGTTCAGTAAACTTCTGAGGACTTAAACAGGCATTACTAACAGTCCCTGACAGCCACATGAGGACTTCCTGTAAACTTAAAGCTGCATTAGGTACTATATGTATGATAACATTGGACCTCAAAATCCAGGCACACAAATGTACTATCTGGTTCAGTCTCACTGCAGTTTTTATATTTGACAAGTAAGTGATCAGTAGTGAGTGAGTCGGTAGATATACAACATACATTATGTTGAAAAACACTGAGGCAATGAATTGCATAGTACAGTATATAACAGTCAAATACATACGCCTACCTTGGGTGCATCATTACTTTTGAATGACATATACATGTATAAGAATGTTCCAAGAGTTGTTCAGGTAGTACTGTCCTTACACGACTGCACAGGACTGTAATGGAATTTTGTCATAGAGTCCACGGTTGAAAACGCGAATTATTGCAAATGACCAACAATGGCCAGTATAGACAAATACAAATATTGTGGAAAAACTATCAATTATTTGTTGTGTGCAGAGAATCAGCAGGATCAGAGGAGGACTTTAATGTGCCTGCTCCAATCCATAAGCCCAAAAACAGAAGCCAAAAGACACATGAAAGACATGTTTGGAGCGTGCACTCAATGAGTTGCTTTTATTGGTAATATGTGGGTGCCATCTTGGAACACAGTATCCACTTCTCTTGATATATCAATGTATTAGCTGCATTGGAACACTGCTACCAGAACGGAACCCTGGTCACTCAGCCCCCTGCCCACATCCTTCATTTCAAGCTGTAACCTATACCTTAAGTGGAAACTAGAGCAGAGCTACCCCTGGAAAGCAGAGCTACCCCTGGAAAGCAGAGCTACCCCTGGAAAGCAGAGCTACCCCTTGAAAGCACGACAGAGCTAACACAAAGGAAGGCTAAAGAGATGTGCATGCCTTTGCTCCTGCAGTTGTGCAGCGTTACCTCCATCTTCAGTCTTTGTCCAGCCTAAACCCTGAGGGTTTGCTACGGTTCTGTAAACAGTGGAATCAAACTAGGGCTTTTTTCGTATTTATCCTTTGCTTTGACGCAGATTTGACTTTCATCGTCTCAGAAAGTCACCCCTAAAGCTGGTCAACAGAGCCGGCAGGCGGATGTTTAATGTGCGTTCTCCATTGGTTTTGCAGCAGCCTGGGGGGTTTGGGAATAGGATTTGCTGCAATCACATTCTGCTCAGGAAAGAACACTGGCTGACTTTCTCATCCGCTATTATTTTATTATTCTATAACAACGGGGAGGATTGTTGGCTTATCCAAACATCACAGTTTGTTTCAAATCAACACCTACTGTCCACACTCCCATTCACTTTGGTTTGGATATGCATGGTCCCCAGAGGATTCCAAACAGTGTTTCCATCAGAGTAAAAGGCTTTCACACTAAACTGCTGCAGCTGCTGTGGGAAGTGATTCATGGATTCAAAAATGGATGTAATAAAGAAAATTAATAAATAGACGCTCTGTCTTGTTTTTGAAACACTCTTACAGTAGATGTACGTCTTTCATCTAAAGGCTATTAGCAGTCTTTTCACTTTAATCAATGTCATTTATTTGCTTTTAATGATTTGGTTTGCTCTGGCTTGGTGGCTCATTCTGTCAGTGAAGTTGTTTGGTGAACTGCTGGAGGAGCTTTTCCCAAAAGAATAGTGGAGTAGGAGACGGCGCGGTCACTTTTAGGTCCAAACATACAAGTCAACGACAATCTATTCAAAATGCACTCCTCCCTTATTCTGTTGTGGCTTAGCTTCTGTTTTCAATTTCAGAGCACCTGATGTTGTTCAGCACAAAGAGTCACAGGAAGGATTTGCTGTCCTTGGATATCCCCTCTCCGACATGTACCTTCCTGAAACTAAATCTGCCACACTACACCCCCTCCTCTTTCCAACACTCTCTCTCACACAAGCTGTTTCTCTGTGTGCATTGCTTCCAAACACATTGTACAGAGTCTCCATCTGCCAACACAGACAGAAAGATGACACTTCAGTCACACAGAGCAAATCCATGTCTGGTCGCACGTCCTGCCACCCGGCACGTATTTGACAAATGGCAACATGCAGGAAGAGGCCAACTTCAACATCTACCCAACGCAGTACAAAATGTTCACAGCTTGAAAACATGGCAGCATAATTCCTTTTAAAACAACATGTGGAACCGTTTCAGCGTGTCAGACACTAAGTTTTACCAATCACAGCTTAAACAACAAAACAAACAACAAAAACATCTTATTATTGAAGCCACACCTGTCCTTCCAGAGGTACTACCTCATTTAAAAAACACAACCAAGGATTCAGCAAAACTGAGCCAAATGTGACTATAAGTTCAAACGCTTTGGCCACTACATCATTGTTTGATTTGACTGAGTTTTGTCAATGTATCCAGTTGTGTCAGAAGCACAATCTCTTTACCCCCAGAGTTGGCCCAGAGTTGGCCCAGTGTGTTTTAGATATTTAAGAACAAAATATATTTTATAAACTAGATTTGCTGGATCTTGACTGCTGATGGGCCAAGCTTTTGTACTAGTACATGGATGCAGTTAATGCAAATAATAGGACAACACTACTTGTTACAAATCGTTATCTTGAAGTGTTTATCACAACACTGACTGTTTAAAAGACGTGGACAACTCCAACACTGTTTGTTGTGCCATTTGGAGTGTGACTGTGGTTGCTTTATGCCTGCAACAAATACAAATGAAAGAAACACACACTGGCACAACATGAATATGCAATCAGAACTCTGAAAAACACAATTATCCCTTGGGACAGCACTTCAGTCACACAGGCCACAAGGACCACCACTCACTGAAAGTTCATGTTTTTGAAGTCACAGGTCTGGGGGGGGGGGGGCTGTCAGTTCACAGATTCAAACATCTCCTCTGTGAGAGACCTTTGGATCAAAACCCTCAGGGCCACTTCACCCCCAGTTCTGGATCAGACACATGATTGAATAAATGATAGGGTTTAGGACTGAAATGTGACTTGTTTTCAATGCCGCTTTTTCAGAATGATCCCAATCATGCAAAAATCCATGTAATTATAGTACATATCATAATTAGGTGTCTTCTATCTTTATTCTATCCAGACCACATTCCCTTATGCTTGTATTAAACTCCCTGCGATGACATGTGTCACTGTATTCCTAATATACCCTGGGTTCTGGTCATGGGATGGTTTTTTGTAGGTTTTATGCCTTTTGGATTATAATCTTTTTATTCTGTACACAACTGAAATGCATCCAAAAGGTAACTCGAATCAATTGTCAAAGGCAGCAGGGAGCAGTGACTTCCTGGAGTTGTTTATCCAGAAACGTTTCACTCCCACTCAAACCACTAATTGTTATTTTATTATGTGTTTGTTTACGGATAACTTTTAGAAAGTGAACGTTTTGTGCTGCTTCCAGTCTCCATGCTTATCATCTCTCGGCTCTTGCTACAACCTGCATGTTTGAGACTGGTATCGATCCTTCCCACTTAGGTCCCCACAGGAAAGAGAATGAGAGTATGCTGGAAATGGAAATGAACAACATGTTGAATCAACAATGTTGCTGGATTAATATAATTGAGTCTATGATTGATATAATTGAGTCTATTGATTTCAATAGCCTAATGTATTTTTAAATAAAGGAGTGGTCTTGCTCTTCTCTGTACGGGCATTTATTTATCTTCATCACTGATGAATGGATACATGTTTTAATATGTTCTTTATACGTTCTGTAATATTATGCTTCAAACATTCTGCTAAGGTTTTTGGGTATGGTTCGGTAATTATCAATTGTTTATTTCTCTTGCTTTATTCCAATTAGATTGCATTCGTATTTTTTTCTTCTGCAGTGAGTTCAAATGTTTTTTTCACTTGCTGTATGATGGATGCAGTACTCCCCACAGTTGAGGGAGTGTTGCAGGGCACTACACTAACTCTCTCTCTCCTGTTTTCTCTTCTCTTCTTCATTCCAGTTGGAAGCGTTCTACTCCATCTTCACCACAGAGCAGCAGGGACCATGTGAAGTCAGTGGAGTATCTGCGCAGCAACTTCAGGCCCATCCAGAGTTTGGACAACCGCCACGTCTTCAAGTCAGGCAGTGAAGGACGCCTGGATGCCCGACCTGACAGGACAGCAGCGGGCCGTACGGCACGGAGGCTTCCAGAGGTAGAGCTCTGCCTTTAAATGTTTACCTAGGACCGGTGTGCTTGTTAAAGGTCCCATGTCATGGCCATTTCCACTGATCATAATTCCATTGTTGAGGTCTACTAGAATAGATTTATATTGTGCATTTTTCCAAACTCACATTGGTTTCTCATACAGCATCTCTGTAACTACGTGTATTCACTGAATTTCACCTCTCTGGCTTTAAACGGCTCGTTGTAGCTCCAATACTCCAGCCCCCACCCTCCCTGTGAGCACAGTGTGCTCTGATTGGTCGGGACGGTTGTGAATCGCGCTGAGCTCCGTGGAGGTGTTGTTTCCCTTGTTAGCGATACACAGCCAAAACAGCCAAACTCATCCTGAGCAATATTTAGAGTTGCAATGATATTGTTCCTATGTGGTCTGAAACAAAAAACAACTTGAATACAAAATAAATGTCCCCGGATGAAGAAAGAAATGATGAAAGTCAATGGTTTCATTATGAAAATGATTTAAATGATATACAAGACACATTTTTTATCCAAAATTAAATAAATCTACATGTATTTGAAATATCAAGTTCAAAGATAAGAAACAAATGTATCAAGATAAAAGAATAAATCCTTTATTTATTGTTTATTCCAGCATGTAATATGACTGTTTTTAAAGACATTTGTCCACACCTGCCTGCTCCTCTAACAGCGAGATATATATATAACGAGATCATCCAAAGTGCCCTCCTCTTCTTTACCCACTAAACTATAGCTTCATTAGTTTTCCCTCTTTCCGTTCTAAACTGCTTCCGTTATTCCCACATTTCTGTGCGTGTGTGTGTGTGTGTGGTGTGTGTGGTGTGTGTGTGTGGTGTGTGTGTGTAGTTGTGGTTGTGTGTTGTGTGTGTGTTTTCAGGTCACCAGCGAGCTCAGTAACTCCCTAGCAATAAGGCCAGTGGGAGGCTCACCAGCCGTTCTTCCCACTCCTGCATCATTACCACTCAAACAACACACACATTGGGCACAGAGGGTGTGTGTGTGGGGTGTGTGTGGTGTTGTGTGGTTTGTGTGTGTGGTGTGTGTGTGTGTGGTGTGGTTGTGTGGTGTGTGTGTGTGTGTGGTGTGTTTGTGGTGGTAGTGTGGTGTGTTGTGGGGTGGTGTGTGGTGTGGTGTGTTGTGTGGACCGTGGGTGTGATGGACGTGTGTAGGTGTGTTGTGTTGTGTGTAGGTGTGTGTGGTGTGTGTGTGTGTGTGGTGGTGATGTGTGTGTGGGTGTGTGTTTGGTTTGTGTGGATGTCCGTGGGGGTTGATGGACTAGTGGGTGATTGTGGCTTGTGGGTGTTGTGGACGTGTGTGTTGGTGTTGTGTGATTTAATTGTGTGTGTGTGTGTGGTGTGTGTGTGTTGTGTGTGTGTTGTGTGTGTGTGTGTGGGACATGTGGTGTGTGGACGTGGGTGTGTTGGACGTGGGTGTGTGGACGTGGGTGTGTGCATGCATCTGTGTTAGTGTGCACGTGTTTCTATGTGTATTTGTAAGTGTTGGTGTGTGGCCTAGCATCTGTGCTGTGTCAACTGTCCTAGGGAGATTTGTCCATTCCCTTCCTTCACTTCCATATGGTCGACTAGGAGATGTGCGTCACCTAGATGTACACACGCACACACAAACACTCTCACACACACACACACACACACACACACACACACACACACACACACACACGTAGTGTATATACAGTATGTGTAGTGTTGTCCTGGCACAGTGTGCTCTCTTCAGTTTGTCCTTGAGCGCTGCAGGGACATGTTTGCTGTAACAGGGCCGGTCTGCAGAGGAGGAAGGAAGGCTGGTAAAAAACAAAGAGGTGTACTAGGGATGTTAAAACATAGCTGAGGGACTAGGGGAGTAAACCTGTTCATGTATGTGAGTGTTCAGCTGTAAACCCTCATCACTTCCTGACAACATGAACATCTTTAAATGGAAATCTGAACATAACCTATACAGCAGCCAGCAGCAGCTAATGCAACCAGTTGTTTTCTTTCCAAGCCCCTCCCTGTGCTAATGTATTCCATTTGACTGAGGCTCAGCCTGACACCCTCCTCCTGCTAGATTTGCTTCTCATACAGCAATGATGTTTCATTTACTTGTGTGGTCCCTGAATGACTGGCAGCCTCACATTTAGCCAGGCAGCAGAATGACAGATATATGTATCACAGAGAGGAAGGGGTGTTGTTTGTAACCTCCGCCCAGCACTTTGGGAAACATACCTGTCCTATGTTCTGAAACAAAAGAGGAACCACGAGTAATCTGTGTGTATCAAGGAAGAGAGAGCTCTGTGTTGGGGTCTAGCACACTGACTGGAGTAGGAATTGCTAGCTTAAATAAAACATATTATTAAAAGCTTTAACAAATCTAAATTAAATATTTGTAAGTTATCATGTAGCCTAATGAACTCTACTATTTCCCTATTTAACATCTGTTAACAAAACAAAAACACCAGGCAAAGCATCAGATCAACCCTGGTCTATTAACTTTCTGTATCAAATATCATACATAAGGAATCTAATAAGACATACTTCACTTCAGTGTCTATCATTGAAAAACCTCCTGGACCTGTACAGTGGTGGACTCAGATTGCATTGTTCTGTTTTCATCTGACTCTGGATCAGACAGCAAACAGAACATGTTCCCAATTGTTGTCTCTGTTCCTTTCAAATGTCTCATAATAGTTCCAGTCAGAGGCAAGGTCAAAGGTTGAAAGTCTCTCCAGCTGTGAGTGTGATTTAAGACTTCATTCAAGAGGAATCCTAACTCCTCAGCTGGACTAAAGAAAGTGAACGAATCTCATCCAGCGGGTCAGATGTTTGACCTTTTCCTTTCTGCTTTAGAGAGTCTTTGCTGTCTAAAATATTATCTTACACTTGACTGTAAGATCAACCTTTTTGCAAAGAGATGAAAAGCTTAAAAGCATAAGCAGAGATGACCTTTGCCCCTGCTCAGGTTCCTTCATTATTGAGAGTCTGGATATACTGTATCAGAGGAGCTCCAATGAGCAGGGAGAAATCAGAACGTCTATCAGTCGGCCAGCTGTTAGGGCACAGTGACATTGTGAGTGCATTCATACAATAAGACATGTGACACATTTATTATGATTATCTCCAGTATGTTTAAACAATGAACAATTATTGTTAACTATCAGGCACAATTATCTGATGACATGTCTGTTAGAGGTTGATCTGATAAGAACTGTTATGAATTGTAGACTTACTCAACAAGTAGACCTTTTTAAGTAATAAGTTGTGTAATCTTTACAAAACTCAAAGTGTAAAATCTAAACACTGAGATTAAAAAGGAAAATAAGTGTTGTCACTGCTCCCAAATAAGAAATATTTGCGCACAAAACCTCATGAAGAAGCTACAAGTTTCCAAAAGTGCTGAAGTTTGCCTTCCGCCTTGAAACCTAATAACCAAAATAACATGATATCCAGTTTATCTGTAAAAAAAAAAAAAACTATTGGAGAAAACTTAAGTAGTTCTATAGTTATCATCTATACATCTCTGTATAAACTGCAACAACAAACATACATACTCACACTCACAGTCCAGCTGGTCTGTTTGACCAGAGTTTGAGCTTCCTCTCATTTTTCTAATTATTATTTCACTTGCAGATTGTATTTTATTAATTTTTCCACACAACCTACGCTGCACATTATTGTGTTTAGTCTTTTTCAACTCAGTTCAGTGATAAATTACTACAAATATTCACATGTATTGTACTGTAGATATTTTGTAAGAAACTAGCTTGCAGTCTGAATGTCCTATTGTTCCTCTCTACGCACACTTTCTGCGAGTATTTGGTTTAGGTCAAAATGTCCAACAGCTGAGTCTTGTCTCTGCATAATATAACTACAAATAATTATACAAAAGATTCAAGTACTATATGAAGTAGCCAGTGAGTAAGGCAAGTGCCAGTGTAAGTGCTGCTTAAATAACAGTGCTTGATGCAGGAGGGCTGAAACATGACTCAGTGTTAAACATGCACAGAAGCACTGCAGAAGGATGGACAGTGAATACAT